GGCGACGATATGGCTCCTGCGGTTGATCCTGACTTGTATTTGTATTACTCGTCTTAAAATTAATTTAATAGGTGGCCGGTACTATTTTGTAGAATTATAAGCCTAAATTGAAAATATGCACAAAAAACGGACCGAGCACACACACTTTAACCGAAGAATGCACCGTCGCGCAGCATTGCGCGACATCGTCCCATGAGACAGACTGGCTGTCGCGCACCATTGCGCGACACTGTCGTCAACGTGTTAATATCGCAAAAGGAAATCGAAGCTGAGTTGTACTGGTTAAGCTTGATTTCGCACTCTTGGTAACTCTTATGAAGGTGTGATTGGGCCACATCGTGCTGATTACAAACCCGTGTACTTTCCTAGCCGAATGCAGCGAACTCACTGGAAAGGGAATAGTGCCCTTGCCAGTAAGCGTTCGACTAACGAGTGTTTTATTATCATGACAGTGATCATGGTAGCAGGTTTTGAAAAATCTTCATTTAAAAGTGAACTTCTCTTCTGGCAATTAGTCATTACGTTCGTTATGATCCAATCACTCCATAACGTTAAAATTTTTTCAATACCTGTTATTCATGGTTTTTTTGGGTGGATCAAACTGTATACTTGCCATTTACCTATTGCCACCCTCTTTTATATGATGTTTGTTTAGCTATTTTTCAAACATTTTTTATGAGAAAGAGGAAATTCTTATGAGTAACTTCTGAACTGCTTATTTTACCGTTCAGAATCTTTGCCGGTGAATCCCCTCGAGCTGTATATTAATGGTTTACCAGCAAATGTTACCAAGAGCGACATAAGGAATGTCTTCCGAGCTGCAGTCTCCATAAATATACCTAACGCTCGACCCCATGATTTGAGGTGCTATTTCAGTTTATGACTGCTTGAGCAGTTTTATTTCTACAACCTTTTCTGCTCTATTTCTTTTTCGTGTAATCAAAGATGAGAGTATCGTGGTTGCAGGCGTGCATTTGTGTTGTTCTCCAATGAAGAGGATGCTAAGCAAGCTTTCGATAAGGGTAAAGGCCTTAAACTTGCCGGACACTCTGTTGAAGTTTTTTACGCACGCCTACGCAAGAATCTCGTAACAGACGCAACGGTTAAATCCTCGAAGGTATTTTTACATTTCATGTAAACTCATTTCTTCAACGGTAATTATGGCTTAGGGTGCGACTGCTGTACAAGATGCTAGTGCGGCACCGATGAAGAAGGTGGCTTTAGCGAAGAAAGCTGACAGTAGTGATGGCAGTGACGAAGAGGAAGTCGAGTCCAGTGACGAAGGGATAGAAGAAGTCGCTAAAGCGCCATCGAAGAAAGCAACACCCGGCAAGGTATGTTTTGTTTGAGTCGTTGGTGGACCGTTTCTACTTTGGAGTACAGTATTGTGGAAATTATACCTGTATTCATTTGTTCTCGTAAAGGAGATGCAGAGACTTATTTCGCGATTGCGTGTTGTTAGCATTTGGTATCGAAAGTGAGTTGTCGTGGGTTTGGAGGGGGGAAAGGGGCACTAGTTGAGAAATGAGCTTGTTTTTCCCTCCGTTCTGGAATAGAGGGGCCGCCATGACTTTCGTTGGCTATGGACGAAGGACAGAGGCAGTGTAGAGGTAATTCATAGGTCGATCACTCACGCTCCTGCGTTATAGACGATGCGTGGTTGATTGCCATGAGTATCCTTGGTTTTGAAGGAATGCTTTCTCTTTCTACGTCAGTTTTTAGGCGTCTTGGAGCGCTTTTTTGGGTGGAAAATTCTAGCATGAGCAATCGATTACGGGATATCGGTCGAGGTCGACCCCGCTTCAGCGCTGCATCTCGCCGAGGCCTTATGCCGGTGACTGCATTGCCTAAAAGAAGTAGGTCACGGTGTCCAGAGGTATCAGTCATTGCGAAAAGTAGATTTGATAGAGTCAACAGAGTGGATCGGTTCAATCCTTTAATCTCCTAGCGAAAAAAGTTGTTGAAGAATCAGGTTTCATCCTCAGTATTACGTTATTGAACTACTTCTTATTATTAACATGAGCAAATAATGTAGAAAGAAAGAATGGTGAAAGGATTTTTATGGGACTGCAATGCGTTAGTTTTGCGACTGTCGTTTTTATCTGCCATGATTCAGATCCAGCAGGGGTGATTGTATTCGGCGAATTTTGCTTATATTTCGTGTAATTTTCTTCCTGCTCTGAGGCGAAAAAAGACAATAGCTCGAATACATTTCACAAGTTTCAGGGCCAATTGAAGCCAGAGTCTGACGACGATGATGATGATGAGGATGATGAGGATGAGGAGGAGGATGAGGAGGATGAAGATGAGGAAGAGGAAGAAAGTGATGAAGATGAGGAAGAGTAGATGTCTTGAAGATGTGAATCTGTTAATATGTTGATCTTAACCACGTTAGTAATCTATTTTGACTATACGGCACATAGAACTGCCATTTGTTGGTGATATCCAGATATATCCAGATATTGTTCGTACATTCTAGAAAGTTGAGACAGTTAATTTGATTATGTTTTTGCTGACAGAATGGTTGTTGTTATTTGTTGAATCTTGAATGAAGTTGTTGACCTGTTGTTGTTGTTGTTGTTGTGAATCTTGTCAAAAAGAGATAAATCATGTCGACGCTTGTGCTTCTGGCAATATTGGATCCATAACGATTTCCTCGGCTCATATTTCGGCGATTTTCTTTGGAGCCTAATGGTAAGAGAGGGGAAAACTATTACTCTACTCATTCGACCAAATGTCTCACTACCCTATTGGACCATCCCGACCAGTTGAGCCACCACAGAATGGGTATGTAAAGTATTGCAAAGGATGAAGTATTTCCAGATCATCGGAATTAGTTTATTTTTGGATGCATTCAGAGTTGGACGCGCGGTTGCGTGGGTTTCGACTTCGAAATCGTCTCCGTTGTGAGATTTCGGCTGTGGTTACCTAAAGCAGTAGATGATTGTGGCCTAGCCGTTGCCTGCAAAAGTTCCCTAACACGCATATGAAAAGGTCTAGTCGTCTCCCCTGGGGGACGGTACATTGGTGCGATTCGAACTACGCGTGGCAAATTGCGAGNCGCGCGCGGTTGGGATCGCACGAATGTACACACACCCGTCTCCCCTATATATTCGTCTCCACAACTTCGAGAAACGATCCTGTAGACCACTCTTGCTGTAGCGTGGTCTCCATCACTGCTCTAGGAAAGTACACACAGTTCTCGTTCACGCATGTGCGGTTGTAGAGACGGTCTCGAACAAGGCCATGTTTGAGGTTGGTAGGGATATCTACAGGGCCTGCAGTGTTTTCTCCGCAAGAGTTCGTCAAGGTCTGACAAACTGCCCGGCCAAAGGAAATCCAGTGGGATTAAAAGGTCGGAAAGTTGACTGAAGTAATCAGTAAACGCAGATTCGCAAAAACGGCTTTGTCTGTACGTTCGACTGACAGTTCCTCAAAAATGCCTACGCCCTTTACCCTCCTAAGCAGTGCTGAAATGAGAATTGTTGGCGAAGTATTCAGTGAATAAATCCGAACTTCTCGTCGTATTTGTTGGTTCATTGTCTGTACGAAACAATTAAGAATTTATCGTGGGATTCCTGTATTTTTCTATTAAACTTCGTTTCGATCGGTGAACAGATAGAGAGTTGGTGATTCAAATTATAATTAGAAAATATGCTATATAATCTTGAAATTAGCAATGCATAGATGGTTCTCGAAAAAGTGAAACGACGTTACTCAGAGAAAGACATATGTCAAAATGAAAGCTCAGCAAGTTTCGATTTCCTACAAGATAAATGAGAAGCACATCATTCAGTGCCCGANTTGGTGATTCAAATTATAATTAGAAAATATGCCTTGAAATTAGCAATGCATAGATAGTTCTCGAAAAAGTGAAACGACCTTCCTCAGAGAAAGACATATGTCAAAATGAAAGCTCAGCAAGTTTCGATTTCCTACAAGATAAATGAGAAGCACATCATTCAGTGCCCGACCAACTGCTCTAACATAAGTCTATTTAAAGTTACTGCGAATGAAATAGGAGACTCTAGAAATTTCTATTGTTGCGAAGTTCTAAAATGACTTACAATTAGATTAGGAGTAAGCTGTTGGCTTGAATACTTAAAATAGGCTAATGATGTTAACCCGATAATGTTCCCGAGGACTGTGATCGCGCAAAAGTTAGTAATAAAGACGTTAGCCAAGTTGGAGATAGGTATTTAGTGGATTTCGAACTTCGGCCTTCGCCTCGAGGGCAGCCACGATAGGACTACAGTATCCACAAGATAAAGCACAGAATTCCTTCATGATCTTCTCGAAGAAGAACGATTTGCAACGGTCTAGCCAACGCCAGCACAAGCTCGTTTTGTCGTGACAGTCTGCAAAAACAGTAAGTGAAAACCTGAGTATAAAATAGTTTTGTGAAAGGTTTAGGGTGAGAAAACCAAAGACACCAAATATAGTCACATTTCTAAACATATTTTTTGGAGACCGAAAGTATAAAAGTAAAAAAGGTGCAGAGAAGATTTATTAACAAAGCGTGGATGCTCATTTGTACCCTCCACGGATAGCTAAGCAAGTTCAAAGTGATCGTCAATGAATGAAAAGGCATGCACTGAAAACATCGAAATGGAAGCAAAGACATTCATACCATTGTTAGTTAGCGTTTTTGCTAGCGGGTATGGTAAACAATTAACTGGCTAATGCTAACTATGCCCTTCGTTATCAATGCTGGTGGCTTAACTCTCATTGCGGTATTTCGAGTTTATCCTATCGTAATGGTTTGTGGAAACACAACCTTGATTAGAGCCAAAAGGGGGACGGTACGTTCGTGCGATTCGGACTTCGCGCGGCAAATTGCGCGGCGAAGTTCGTGGTGGTGTAAACGACTCTGGCGCCTATTATTGGGGCACAAGCTTGAAGTATAGTAGATTAGTATGGTCAGCTGATCCTATTGATCTGCTCTACTTCAGATTTGGGCCCCAATAATAGCCTCCAGAGCCGCCTAAACCAACACGAACTTCGCCACACAATTTGCCGCGCGCAGCCAGAATCGCACGAATGTACACACACCCGAGCCAAAACACAGGGAAGCGATTGCAAGTTGCAACCCTCAGTGACAACGTGATAGAGTCAAATAATAGAGGATAAAGTCTTGGAGCGTTAATCAATCCAGTCTGAGAGATGCGCCCACGTATTCGACTTCCATTCAGAATCGTAATGGCTAATGAATGCGTATGTGGCCTATACAATGGATTGCGGGGGCCAGCCGATG